CCCGCAAGCCTCTGGCCTCCTGGGGCAGGCAGGGGCCGGAGGAAGAAGCCAGGGCGAACGTCTTTCTTCTACACGTTGGTCGGGCGCAGACGCAGCTCTGCGCCCGTAACATAGTCTGAAGCCCGGCGCCCTCTCCATGAAAATAAGGGGTCTCAGGATCAAAAAGTGGTCTCTCAAGTCCCTCAATAAGCTTTGTAGCCGCCTCAGACACATTTAGTTTTTGAAAAGCGAGGTCACACCCCTGGCTCGGGTTCTGGCTTCCCAAGCCCGGGGAAGGCCATTGGCATTGGCTGCGTGTGGAAACTCGTCGCTTTATACTTTTCGATTCTTTCCCGGGTTCTAGCAGTTTCCTCTACCTGAGTCCAGCAGCCAAAGACAACAGCGCCTTCCTTCCTCCAGCCTTCTCTCCCACCAGAGTCACTGCTCCGACAGACTCAGAGCAATGTTTCGACGAGAGGGAAGGCTTTGAGAGGGCTGCAGGCTGCGGGAGGGTGAAAATGACTCCCCTCGGGATCAAAGTCCAGGTTAGGAAGTGATTTTTCAAGCCACTACCACCGTGTCCTAACATCTGATGTTTTTCTTCGAACATTGCTCCCCTTTGCAACTTGAAATTTCTCTCTCTGTGGGCTTGAGCACAGTGGGAGAAGGTAAAATAAAGTGAGGACACAAAACTCAGGGAGTCATCAACTTTCTCCCCACCCCTATTCCCGATACATACCATCCTGTATGTTTTAATGGAAACGAATCTCTTTCCATTCTAATCCGACACTGCATCAATGTTTTCTCATGCACCTAGGCTGTGGATGAGCTTGATTTTTAACTTGTTTCCTTAACCACATCTTGTTTGTCCACTTTATGTGCCTGCCTCATGTGCTCCAGAAGGTTACAGCTGGGAGGGCCTTTCGGGACCCAGTGGTTTAACCCTCTGTTTTTACCACTGAGGAAATTGAGACTCAGAGAGGTTTCCTGTCCAGGGACATGCATCCAGTTGGTAACAGAGCCGGGACTAGACGCCTGCCTCCTAAGATTCAGGCTGGTTCATTTTCTGTGCCTTTCCATTGATGGTCCCCACTGGTTCAGGTTTTTGTCTGGATTTGATGGTGCTGTGGTCTGCAGGTCCTCCTCTCTTATAAGTGACTCAAAATGGCTCCTTCCCGGGCCCTGTGCTGCCAGCAGATGTTTCCTTGATGCGGCCTGTGGTCACTGATATTTAAATGCAGCTGTCATTGGCCTTTGGTCTCCCCATCCACTAGTTCATCCACTACATTCTAAAAAGACGGAGGTAATATTCAGAGAGCAGTGAAAGAGGCAGTGCCCAGAACTGATTTCAAAGTCAGTACTACCTATTTAACTGACAGAAAAGAATTCACCTGGGATCAAAGCAGTAGGTCTCATCCTCTCTATTTTCTACATTTAATGCCCTGCACTTGATTTATTGGACTGGGGACTTGGGGGAAAAGGGACAGGAAAATTCGAGTAGGCCTCACTACCATAATTTATATCCTGAAATTAGATATTTGTCCAAATTTTAAAATATTGTTGGACCACACAGGACCTCCATATTATATATGCATTTATATAAACACAAACTACCCCATCTATGTAAGTGGAAGAAATTCTGGTGTATTTCACCTGGCCCAGAAGCTTGTTTTTAATCCCTGGAATTAATATCTTATATGAAAGAAGAAAAGTAATACTTTCATCCCCTACACAGTCGGAATCTTTCTACTAATATGTAGGAGCACCATTTTGTTGCTTTGTTAATCTTGAAAAGTTAACGAGTCACGGTCACGCCACCTTAAGAAGTCTGGCTGCCAGCAGAAAGGCTGTGCTTACATCGACCTCGCAGTGATCTAAAGTGTTTTGTTTACAGTCAAGGCACCGGAGATCTGTACGGCAAATAAAGAGAAGGCAGGCGTCTGCTGTAGTAGCGATGAAGCGTGAAGAAAGTACTATGCAGCCTCCGAAGGAAGAGGGAACAGGGAGATCAGAGAGCCATCCTCCTGCGGAAAGTAGGCAGCTGTGAGTAAGCCAGGGAGGAACAGTTCAGATAAACAGTGAAAAGGCGGAGCCTGGGGAGAAGACAGAAAGTTCCCTGCCGCTACTACTGTTCTAAAATGGGCTCTAACCGGGCTCGGTGGCTCAGCCTGTAATTCCGCGCCTTTGGGAGGCTGAGGTGAGTGGATTGCCTGAGCCCACGGGTTCGAGACCTGCCCGTGGCAGCGAGACTTCATCTCTACAATAAATCAAAAAATCAGCCGGGCGTGGTAGCACGCGCCTGTAGTTCCAGCTACTTGGAAGGCTGAGACGGAAGGATCGCCGGAGCCCAGCAGGTCGAGGCTGCGGTGGCTGGGAGTGGCCACTGCACTCCAGTCTGGGCGAGAGAGTGAGACTCCGACTCAAAAAATAATAAAATAAAATAAAATAAAATGGGTTCTGCTTCCTTGAGACCCTTAGTCCTGGCTGATGTTTTTGTTTGTCATATTCGCTCCTGGTGGTTTCCTACTTAGAGCTGAGAAGTGTCCCATCGGCCACCCGGATTTTCGGCGTCTTTCACGAGCTGGAGAGCAAGGCAAAGACCAAAATAACTTAAAAGAAAACACCTGTGTGTAGACAAGTGTTCGGGTGGGGTGGCTGGGCAAGCAGCCAGTGTCACGGGCTCCCAGAGACAGCTCTCTCATGGGGAAGTTGTGCAGCCTCAAATGTTTCTGCGAAGGTACACGTTCCCTTGCCAAGCTGCCCATCCCACTACAATTTTAATCCTTCCTCAAGGGTGTTTATCAGGAGGCAGTTTCCCTAAACCGACATATTTTTAAAGTTTGAGAATTCCAGTCATCTTTTCCTGACACTTTTAATTACAATGTAACAAATATTTACTAAGCACCTTCTATTGATTTGCTTATCCTTTCTTTCAACAAATATTTATGGAGTGGCTCCTATATGCCAGACATTATCCTGGGCTCTAGGGCTACAGAAGTAAACAAACAGATTTAAAACTAGAATGAAACTGACATTCTAGCAGGAAGAGAGAAAACGGAAAATAAACACAATGAGTAAAATCTAGATGATGTAAGAAGGTGATACATGCTATAGAGAAACAACAAGCAGGGGAGAGGGAAAGAGAGTGTTGCCAGGGTCACACTGTGAATAAGATGATCAGGGAAGGCCTCATGGAGAAAGTGGCTTCTGAGAGAAGCCCCGAGGGCGGTAGAGAGCGGTCCTGTAAATATTTCTTTTTTTTTTTTTTTTTGAGTTGGAGTCTTACTCTGTCACCCAGAATGGACTGCAGGGGCAACGTCCTGGGCTCAGGCAATCGTCCCCACCTCCGTTTCCTGAGTAGCTGGGACTACAGGTGTGCACTACCATGTCCAGCTAATTTTTTGATTTTTTTTTTGAGTTGGAGTCTCACTCTGTCACCCAGACTGGAGTGCAGTGGCCGCTCCCGGCCACCGCAGCCTCGACCTGCTGGGCTCCGGCGATCCTTCCGCCTCAGCCTTCCGAGTAGCTGAAATTACAGGTGCACACTACCACGCCCAGCTAATTTTTGATGTATTGTAGAGATGAGGTCTCGCTGCCCAGGTGGGTCTCGAATTCGCGGGCTCAGGCAATCCACTCACCTCAGCCTCCCAAAGGCACAGGATTACAGGCTGAGCCACCGAGCCCGGCAGATATTTGAGGCATGTCCCTATCAAGGGAAGAGCATATGCAGAAGCTCTGAGGTGGGATCTTGCCAGCTGTGTTCAAGGAACAGTGAGGAGGCCCGTGCAGTGGATGAGTCAGAGCAAGGGGAGAGTGGTAACAGGAGCATCAGATTATACAGGACAACGGTGGCCTCTTAAGGCTTTTCTTTTCTTTTCTTTTCTTTTGAGTCAGGGTCTCACTCTGTCACTGGAGGGCAACGGGATGATCATGGCTCACAGCTCCTCAACATCCTGGGCTCAAGAGATCCTCTCACCTCAGTCTCCTAAGTAGTTGGGACTATAGGTGCGTACCATCACGCCTGGCTAATTTTTTGTTTTTGTTTTTTGTAGAAATGAGGTCTCGCTTTGTGGCCTGGGCTGGTCTCAAACTCCCAGGCTCAAGTGATTCTCTTGCCTTGGCTTCCCAAAGTGCTAGGATTACAGGCATGAGCCACCACACCCAGTCATGGACTTTTCTCATTGATGTCCGGGCATTCTTTATAGTAGAGAGGGGGTAAAG